CAAATAAATTGAATTTAAGCGTATAGTCTATTGATTAATATCCAGTAATGTCAATGCATATATGGCACATGCTAGTCCCACGTCTAAATATAAATATCAAAACAATTAATAAGCTTACCAAGTCGCTCTGACATAGTCTCAAAAATCATAAACAAGCATAAGAGATAGCACACTATATACACGCCTTTCATTGAGAATTCGTCAAAACATTTCGAGCTTGATTAACAGTCTTTACAGACTTTACATTCCAGCATGCAACATGTACAATGCACGTGGAAAAGAGGAAGTCAGGATTCCGGATGTTTCCGGTTAATTCAATTTAATTTTTGAAGCCTTATCCAATTCAGCATTTAAGCATATAATACTGAAATAGTTCAACATGGGAAATGAGTTAACCAGTCTTTTTTCTAGGCAAGGATTAAAATAAGGTTACTCCACAACCCCTCCCCCCCCCCTGGTGAAATAAATCCAAAATGTTTCATACCTTGTTTAGCAACACATGTAACTTCCGCAAGCAATGGAAACTTTATTTCTAAACTAATTTATATGTAATGAAGGTTGTGGTAATAACATATCACAAATTTCAGTTCATTAAATAATAAAATTCAGTTCATTAATTATATGCAGAAATCCCAACATTTTACCCCCCTGCGGCTAAACGCACCCGACTCCCCCCGTTTACCATCACGTTTCGAGACACCCAGGTCTGTACCTACTTGAAAATACCCATCCCGATTTCTCCGGCTTCAGGTGGTAGTAAAGTCCACCACAGCCCGGTCTATTACAGTTCCATCTTCATCCAAAACTACTTGATCTCCTTCTAGTTTTTCTAAACCTATTGAAGGAAACATTATGTTAAATGAAATTTATTTCAGTGGTATATTTATTTAAGAGAAGGGTAATTTCTTTATGGCTTTGCCACCTTTATAATTCTTTTGCAGACTTTAAAAAACACCCGGTGGAGTCCCAAATTTAAGAAGGCAAAGCCGTTATTTACTGTAATAATACTACAGGAACTCTTTTGCATATTATTAATAGTCTAAAGTAACAAATTTTTAAAACAAGGTGACTATATGTCTGACAGTCTAGCTAGATTTTTTATTTTAGTAATATAAATCATAATACTGGTGTACTGGTTTATTAAATAGTGAGGCGGATATGTGCATAAATAGTTCCCAATAGGGTTAAAAGCACCAAATTTGGTAGAGTAGCGTCTTTTTATGAGCACATCAACATGCAAAAGTGGGGCCATCGTGAAAACGGTGTTTTGGAGAGTTAGGAGAATTTTTCAAAATGGCGGCCATTTTAACCGGAAGTGAATTATTCAATGAATTTAAATATCGCCCCATTAGGGTTAAATGCACCAAATTTGGCAGAGAAGCATCTTTTTATGAGTACATCAACATGCAAAAGTGAGGCCGTCGTGAAAACGGTGTTTTGGAATGTTAGGATAAGTTTTCAAAATAGCGGCCATTTTAACCGGAAGTGAATTATTCAATGAATCATCGTTAGTGGAATCGTTGCAATGAAGAGTGTGTAACGTTTAATGGTATCAAATGAGACAAATGTGTCATTAATTAAAGCTTTTTTAATGAAGTACACGTTCAATTTTCTTGAAACCATTAATTGCTATATCTACTAGTACTGCAGTTTAGAACAAAAGCAAAAAACCAATAAAGAAATACCAGATGCTCCCATTCAACGCTGGCAAATTATGCATATAGCACAAAATCAACCCAATGCATTAAACCAAGATATAAAAAAGAATGAAACGTTATACGACTTGCTTTCTCGTGTAATTGGAGCTTTAAACTTTCAAACTTTAAAAAGTTTCATCTTTGGACTAAGAACAAGAGTTTTCTTGGACTTCTGGTAATGACTGTCTGTTCCATCATAGTCAATCGAGATATGGTCTGGAAATTCGGCCAAAGTCTTTGTTCTATCTTTTTGTTCACGTTTATGCAGGCTTGTGCACGGTGAATACAATAAATTTTTGGCATAATGAAGTAATCAACCAATAGCATCGCCTCGCCGAATCCCTCAACCGTACTGTTGAAATATTAATAAGCAAAATTTCAAAAGAATTGTGCACGGTGAAGCCGTCTCAACATAAACTCGTAGCTCATTATAGATGCTTTTAAGTTTGTCGAGTTTCTAGACCATGCCTCGATTGACTATGGTTCCATATTCAGTTCAGTCTTTGTTAGTGCATTTGTCACTACATGTGCACAATTCGCTGCAGGTCAAGTTAACCTTGAAACAGGAACACCTTCCTTGACATCCTTTGTTGCACCCGCATCGTACAAGCTCTCGACAAGACTTTGTGACATCTGGAAGGGTTGTCCAGAAGGGCTGCCAGCCGTCAGAACCCATCCCCACTCCTCTGGGCTTGGTAATTGGGGTCTGACCACCAGGCACTGACCCCAGCAATGCCCAGCCTGAAGTGCGGTCCGCTTCATGTGCTCATACAGAGCTGCTAAGGTCGGTGGGATCAGATCCAGCGACTTGCCCTTCTTCGAAAACAATGCCTTTCGTGCATGATTGACTTTCGTCTTATTGCTGGTTCGGTCATACATGAGGATAACAAAGCGCTGGAGTAGTTCCATGTTGCGATCAGTGATCTGAGCGAGAGGACATGACAAGGATAGAAAGGCGCTCGTTACTTCCGGGCACGCCTTCCACGCTTCCATCGCAGTCTTCTTTCCCCATCCGGCAAAGCAGGATACAGTATCGCATCCCGTAAATGCATGAAATGCTGGTAGCGCTTTGGATCGCTCTGGGCCAAGATTACATGCAATTGAATGTGCGGGAATATACCTCAGATTTATGCCAGTTCCAAAAGCCACCCACACTTCTAGCTGCTCTTCAGGTCGCATTGATGACAGGTGATGGAATACGGCCACCGCCAACACCAGGACGTCTGTATCCACCATCCGCAGAAGAATCTTCCGATCACCTTGCTGTACAGCATCAGCCGCATGAAGTAACATTCATGTGTCAGCCTCTTCATGTGTACAGGGAGATAAGCTGGTTGTTTCTCTTCGGCTTGTGCACCGTACATCTTGGCCATACATGGTAACGACTTGACCACCTACTTCGAGGGAGCTCGCGCAATCTGCCAGAAACATAAAGAGCTCGCGCTTGTTGGAATCCTCTCGGAGAAAAGAACTGCAGTTGCGGGGAAGCTGGTTGGTCGGTGTGACGCGGCGTCTTACTCCTGTCCCTCGATGGCATCTGGTGGTCGCTTTCAAACTATTCTCGATGTACTCATCCCATACGATATCTACCTGATCAGCATGGCGAAGCTGGGCTTAATAAAGGGGAGGAACGATTTCTCTGCATAACCAGTGAACGTCTTCTCTACTCCTGGCTTGATCATGTTGACAATCGCAGCTGCATCTATGATGATAGTATTGATACCAGTGGGCATACTGCTTTGCAGAGTAATGTCGTTCCTTGGAAGACGCAGTTTCCCTAGATTAGACAGAGATGGAGGACAACCTTGGTTTTCGTGTTTAAAAACTCGTCGAGATCACCGTCCCTGGATTGACAGGAGATGTACAGTCTTGCAAACAATGCACAGTTGCTCTTAAGGGAGGAAACTTGTTGTGACGCCTTCGACTTTTTCGGGGTAGGTGTGCTGAAGAGGTAAAGCTTGTTTTTCTTGATAGGATCATACAATGACTTCGTTCGCTCAACCAAGCACTCCTTCACAAAGGTATCGCTTTGCTCTTTGCCGATTGTTTCTATTTCACGGAGTGTTTTCAGTGCTTCGGGACTTGCAATATCCTTTGCAGTGTCCAATACTAACAGTTCCTTGCTCTCTTCAATAAAGGGGTTACCTAGGTCTTCCATTGAAGCGACTAGTGCCTTGACATCTTTGAATGACGTCATCTGGAATGATCTGTTCTGTTCGTGATGGTCTGTTTTGACGTCGTTACTTGATGCAACTTTTATCTCATCGTCAAACTCATTTACGACCTGCGCTATCTCCGGTCCAGATACCATCCAGCGTCTAAGAGCACTTGCGTTCTCTGTCAAACCAACAGCACTGCCGTCTCCTTTCACAATTACATTGTTCTGTTCATGCGCTTGGTCAATAGCAATAGCTGAGAAACGCTTAGATGACTTGTTTACGGTGAAAAAACCGTCGTCGAACCTACATGCAACATCCGGTGCTGTGTGAGGTAATGCGCGCATATCCAGCAAATGGACGGACAACCAACGAGCGTAGTTGTGATGGTTCAAGGCAAAAAACCATGGCAGCATCTTAGCAATGGAATCGATAAACAAAGAAAAGTTAGCCTGGCGGATGGACTTCACGAAAACAAGAAGCAATAACTCAAGCTGCATAGTTAGATACCAGAAATGAAACTGGGGTACTTGTAATACCTGTTGAGTACACCAATCATCAAACGGAAGGGCGCAATCATCGTCATCGACGTCTTGCTGATATTTTGCATATGCATTCTGTAACAAGACATGCAGGGCACTTACAGTCACTTGGTGAGCCTTCCTTGTCTGTTTGATATTTGCCACCTTGATGAATGAGTCAGCAGTACCAGAGGAGGCAACATCAGCATCGACTAACACAGCAGTCCAACCACTGTCTTCTAGCCAGCTTCCAAGTGTCTTGAGAAACGCCTGTTCAATATGCAAGCCACCGAACATAACGACAAACTTCTGCTCACCATAGAGGTCTCTCCAATTCCACTGAATCTGCTTTGCCAATGCATAGAGGGGTTGGTCAAAAGCGATCACGGGTACCTGACCTGGATTAATGTATTCTACAGATGCTTTAATAACATCCATTGAATGCTTTATCATAGCGACGGACTTGGCTTCATCCGGGAAGAGGGGTAATAAGGCAGATACTGCAGATGTTGCTGATACTGCTTTCTGTATTAAGCCTACAGCACAATGATAGGCTGCCCAGGAGAATTGATTGTTTACATTTTACCCTCGATTAGACTGTTCACATTTTGAAGCCAGTTTAACTCCTCCGCAAACGCTGTACCGATGTTGTCGCCATCTTCAGTTTGTTGCTGAGGCATGTTTGGAAGAGCGGCTGGTGGAACTTGGGTATAGCTTTCCGGCAAGGCAATGACCTTCTTAGTACCTTCAGCTGATTTCATCAGAGGGGTACGTTCTCTAGCTATTCCAGGTACGTCTGCAGTGACATGTTGAAATAGGGAAATGCCTGTGCCATGGAACAAATCATTTTCTGTTGTCGAACTAGGATTATGATCGATGTTGTCTACTGCTGCGGTTGTAAACAATTCTAGACGTAGATTTGGTGGACAAACAACACCATCCTCTTGGTAACGACGGCACACAGCATTTCCTAAGTCGGTGGAAATCGCAAGAACTCTATCATAAGACACACTCAGTCCCAAGTCATGCATTGTCTCTATGAGATCACAGCTGCACGTCCTGGCATGAATGGAAAGTCCGATGAATAATGCTGGTGGTGTTTCTCGATTTTTATTTCGCCGCTCTTGCTTTGCGTCTTCACCACGTCGTCGTATAAAGCTATTGAACTGGATAACCTGGCTAATCGTGAGACCGGCTTGACTTTTCGACATGGCGCTAGATTGCATGTCTATACTTGGGCCATATAGGATCATGTTCACTAACGAGAGAAGCAATGCTGGAACGGATTTGAGCTGACATTCTTGCTCGAATGACCCGTCAAACTGACATTTCTTAGAAAATATATCTTTCCTAAGGATAGATGCTGCCCTGGCGAGGTGGATTGCCTCTTCATCGCATGATTCATGTACACTATGTACTGTAGCACCAAGGTCATCACCGAATGCTAAGTAAACGTTTTGTCCTTGTTTGTAATCTTGGAGACCTGGTAACTGAGTGAGTATGCGCTCTTTTAACTGCGTAGGGTATTTAGAACGCGGTGTGGATTCATTTAGAAGCTGTGCAATCCGAGTATTGTACATATTACCTAAAGTGGAAAGTTTAAATACTGCTGGATGTTCTTTATCGCTAGTGGCACGTCTCTCTTCAATGTATGTAACCAGCTCTGCAAGCACAATACCATCTGGTCGCTGGTCGACTTCCTCTTCTACATCCTTTTCTTGGGCCACTCTGGCTTTCTTGTAAAGCGATACGATGCAAGGCGCGTGGTGACGGGCCTCCAAAGCAACAAGGTCTCCTGCACTAAGTTTTGCCAAAAGCCTCTCATCCTGAAGTGTGTAAGCACATTGTCTCACTCGAAGATCAAGATTGAGAGTGGATACTTGGTGCAATGCCTTTTTAAGCATCCCTGGCTCATCGCAAAGAAAGCATGTCGGCGCAGTATTTCCCGCCTCAGCAGTCGAACGTGTTGCTGAAGTAGACACACTTGACCTTGTATATTTCCCACCAACTGCCTGCTTATCACTAGAAGCTCGTCGCTTTCTTGCTCGCTCAACCTTAGTAGAATTAAATTTCCCATAACAACTAAGATGCCATCTGGCACGCCGCCGAGAAAACGTTTCTTCTAATCCATCCCCTTCATCTAATCTTGACAGGCCGTCAAAATCATTTGGTAAACAACCAAGGTTGGAGAGTTCAGCAATGTTGTGGGCTAGTGTATTGTACCCAGCTCCTATGTTGCTTTTAGCAATCGATTCTGCAGGACACCTCAGTGGCTCGTTTTTGTCATTCTGGCAAATGGCGCAACGTGTCCAGTCAGTTAATCTACTTACTTCCTCCATGTGAACTACCAAGTTGCCATTATTAGCTGAAAATCAGATTTTATCTCGAATTCAGAATTTTTGAATCAGACATTCGGTAAGACCTTTTGTAAACCTCTTTATAATATATCAACATAATCTCGAACTCTATTCTAACCTCGAAGCATGGTAATTCTACTTCGTCATCGGACTACGTCGCTAAAGAGGATTAACGCAGATGCGGACACAGGTCGATTATTTGTAAGCAAGGTTCGAATGTGTTTAAAAATATTATTTTAGTGGGAACAAAAATTGTAAGTATATTTCACGTTTCATGAACGATTTTCAAGACACAATTGCATTAAAAGCCTTCAAGTTGGCAAATGAAATGTGACGTCGTGATTCCTCCTTAGGTTCCTTTTATAATATACTTTCCTTGTCTAATATAATTTCCTTGGCTATGAGTTACAATCAAACTTTAACAAACACTTACTACACAGATAAGTCTGGTTTAATTTTTAAATTCCAACTGACCTGTGCAGCCATGCTTCGATACTAGCCAATTAAAACTTATATAGTGCAAAAGTGAACCTGGATATTACGGTGCAAATTGTGATGAGGTCACAACAATTCACATAAAGTCACAACAATTTTTAACTGTTTTTTATCAAAAAGTCTAGAAAAGAGAGTTTTAAAAGTTGATTTATAACTTGACTGTTTTGAAGAAAGCATCTATAAATAATACAGACTTGAAAATTTGTTGATGACTCATTATTTAGTGAAATCATTTTAATTATATTGACAGTCAGTAGGTTGCAAAGTTATTAACTATAATAAGAAATTATATATAGAAAAATCAGAATCATTGCATCGTACTCAAATAGTCAACTTCAAAATTGCAAGGTTGCAGTTTTAGAGTTGAGATTCTCGTGTAGAGAAACTTACAGCAACTGTAGAGTCGTTTTCGCCGATCAGTTCTCGATTGGAAATTCTATACGGATGCGGCCCAATGTTATTGATCTATATTTGTTTACATCTTGTCGTAGATCACTTAACGGATAAGTTTCTTACACTCACTCACATAATTTAAAACGTATAAAACAAAATGGAGGGCAAATTTTTCATCTTTTCTCAAAATATGCAATAACTTCCATTTTAACTCATTTCATGGTCGACAAAATGTCTATTAAATCCTATAAGTTTAAAATATTGACAGCTTACCTGATGACACTTTAAAAAGATATAAAAACGAATCTTTTGGATTTTTAGAAGTTTCCAACATCGAATAATATAACTTCCGGTATAGTGATACCCCACTTCCGCTAAAGATAGCCGCCATTTTAAACAAACCTTAAAATCACGAGTTAGCAGCAAGATAACGATGGCCCCACTTTAGATATCTATTAAGCATGTGAAACTATAAACATCATGAAAGTTTGGACCTTTTAACCTAAACGGGAACTATTGACCTAAAATTTTGCACATATCCGCCTCACTAAAAAGAAATATAACTTTAATAAAATATACAGAAAACTGACAGTCTTTTTATAAATTAACATCAGTCTATCATCAGTGCATCATGTATCATGTTAGTTAGTAGTACTGTATGTTATAAATATCTATATATAAAAATTTGTATTTACTCGTTTGAGTGCTGTAGTGCTCTTAAAAATTTCAGAGTTTTTTTATGTGGCACTTGATGATCTTTTATTTGAGGATGGTTCTCTTTAAAAAATAACAATTTACAAAGGATAACAAAAATATTAATAAAACCCATCAGAAAAAATTTCCTAGCTTTATTAAGCATATTGAAAGTTTCAAATGCACTGCAATAAAGGAATACCGAATGGTTTTCCGTGCAGGATTGCGTGATCCATGCACAAGGGATGTTGCGAGACTTTCGGAAAACGTAAAAATACACGAGCCGTAGGCGAGTATATTTTTATGCTTTCCGAAAGTCGAGCAACATCGCAACTGTATAATCATGCTATCCTGCACGGGAAAACCATTTGGTAATTGTTTTATAAAATCACTACAGTGAAATGACGCTTAACTTGATTAAAATTACTGATGAAATGTGCAGTTCTCACAACATTCGTGAATTAACCAATCAGAGAATCGCTACTCCACGCTATTGAAAACAACAACATATGTAAACAGAATTTGATCGCAAATTCGCGAAAGTATACAGCGAAAATACAGGGACTTTTTCGATAAAATATACGAAATTTGAAATGGAAAACCCGCTAAACAGAGAGCCAAAGTAGTTTTGAAGATTCTCGACCTGAATATGTGAAGATTGCGAAGCGTTTGATCAACTTTGAAGCGACAGATGTTGTACTTGCATGCCATGGTCTGATGAATTTCAACGCTTACGCATTGCTACTTGCTGAATAGCAATGTATCGATCAGAAATTTATTCATACAACTAAACCAACGTCTCAATAATTGGAAACTTACTTCAAAGTCGAAAGGTATCGTACAATGAAACTTTACAATGCGAGTATATTTGTAAAATTATATGCAATAATTTCTGTTCAGAATTTCCCATGCAGGATTGTCTGATCCTGCACGGCTGTTGACCAATCAAATTGCGTGTTTCACTGTAGTTATTATATAATTGTTTTTACTTGCCTTCTTTTACATAGTATCTTGGCTATATTTGGCTGAGGGGAAGTGTTTCTTGACCCTCCCCCCCCAGGAACAAGAGTTTAATTTTTGTGTCCCACCCCCTGTTCATTGACTCAAATTCATGACACCCCCCCCCCCCAGATATACACAATTCATCTTTTTCCAGTGGTGTAGCAGGGTCCTATTTTCTGCAGGTGTCAAACAGCGAAGACACAAGGTACTCTAGGTGGGTTGGCAATTTATGAAAAATTTAGTTGGCCCAACCCCCCAGGCCAACCAGCCCACCCCTCCTAAATAATGAGCGATCCCTAAATTTATAGGGCGGTGCTTATTCAGGGGCGTCGCTCAAAGAAGTACATGTGACATGGCAACAACACTGTTTAAATACTGTAATCACTAGTCTGTACATACTTTTTCTTTTAAGATCTTCATAGGTCTGCACGACAACACAATATTTCTTTACCCTTTCACTGTCTGTGAGCTTAAATAGTGGCATATTCCACAATATTAAAAACCTAATGATATAAAAACAAGTTCAGCATATTTTATATTGAAGAAATACACATCACCATGTCACAACTCGTAGCTTTGAAATCGTTGCAAATTAAAAGCGAAAGATTTAAAGTGATGGGCGATTACTGACTACTTGGTATCGATAACAGGCTCAAACCAAGACTGCATGGTATCGAAAAAGTGTTTCGATTACTTTTAAAATTAGACATTCATTATAATCCTGTAATTGTGTCATCCTTTTTATAGTTATTCCTAGTAAAACTTATCAAACTTCCTTTACTTTATATATTTGACATCCAAATTCCTGACCTCGCTGACAGAATAAATGATGAAAAAGGCAGGGAAATAAATTAATTTTTGTTTTTCCTGGATTAAAATAGCTGATCAAATCGTTTTCTATACTGCTAAAAATATGTAACTTTCTGAAAATATATCGTTGCTGTCACAGTATAAAAGCCTACTTCTTTAAAAGTTGGCTCTTTTATATTAAGTGACTTCCATTTTAATATTATTTTGAAAATTGGAGGAAGTAAAATCGTTTGGGTATAAAATCAATACCTCTATACATTTTTATATAGAATACATTTTATCGATATTGTATCGAAACGATACTGGTGGTATCACCCATCACTACAAAAGATTAATAAATAACTTCAAACTATGATCGTTTATACTTGAATAGTTTGAAAAACATATGCAAATATATTTAAAACACAATACCTTCAAAAAATGCAGCGACTTCGAATATTTTAATATTGAAATATGACAGTCCTTGACCACGACCACAAGAGCAGTGCTTCCATTTTCAAAAAACATAATTTTCTTCTAACCGTTCAACATTTCCTTATTTTTGAAAAAATTCCTTGCAATAAAAATTATTGAATTTTACCTAATTTAAAACTGATTTTATAGTAATTTATCTCGAATAACGGGGTATTTCTTGTTCTAGAAGAAACATAGACGTTGCAGGGGCTGAATTTTTGAAAAAAGAACAGATTTTGCATCTCGCAGGACAGGATTTTCAGCGCATTTCCTTGGAAATTACTGCATTCTTAGGATTTTTAGAAATAAGGCAATTTCCTTCACATTTCCTTCAATCTTCCGAAATTTCCTGATAATTTCCTTCAATTAGTTTATAGGTTTCCTTCAAAAAGGAAATTTCCTTCAAAATGGAAGCAAAGTCATTCGTCCCGGGCTTTAAAACATGCTCTTCCTTCCAGTCACAACTTCCGGTTTCAAATATTCACTCCTGATCGCTGAATTCAAATATCCCAACCCTTGGGAGGAAAATAAGGATCAAATTCCCGAGGGTGGGAAGACAAAGATCGATCAAATCCCACGTATATGCCCAACCCCCCCCCCTCTGGGGCTTAACATTGATAGGTGCATTATGAGGAAGCCAAGACTACATACCTTAGTTCACTTGATGGAGGATATGTCCAATTTTGGTCCTGCTGTTGGCTTTGCCACTGAAAGGTTTAATACATAAACACTAAAAAATACACACAAACATAATTTGGTTAATTTCACTTGCATGTTTTGTGATGTGCTTAAACTGACAGACTTTCCATCCATCTTGCAAAGTTGTCCATTCTTATTTATACAGTAACGTTTTCAACCAATTAAACCACAATGCTCTGCCGACTGCCTGATACGTGCCTCCTGTCAATTAAATTGTACTCCAACTAAAAACAGAATATTTTATATGCTGAAGAGATAGTTAATGGGGTAAAATGTTGTTAAAACAACATTGCCAGTTAAGTCAGGACCATTAGCAACATTTTTTTGTTCTACTCCTAAACCAATGTGACACATATAATTTTCTCTTTTCATTACAGATTTGAGTCATTCAATTCAGTCTAAGGCAAATGAACCTTTCAACCAATAGACAGGCATGT